CTCCAGGTAACCCTGGATCTGATGGACAGCCTGGACAGCCCGGTAACCCAGGAACTCCCGGAACTGATGCCGCTTACTGTCCTTGCCCACCTCGCTCTGCTGCCATGGCCAGCCGCAAGAAGATGGCTAAACATTAAACTTCTGCCATTCTCATTGTAGAAATCAACAAATAATTCATAGTCATTTGTTGGTAATAAATTATGTAAGATCCAAATATATAGGCAGCATGGCAATATTCGCATCTTTAGAGAAAGCGATTACCAATTCGCTGTGTGATCGATCGTCTCAGTTAATATCATCTTCTTTCGTGCGATTTTCTTTGGACACATTAAGATGTTTGTTTGGCGCGCCTATATCGCTTTCGTCTCAAGCGACCTTGTCGCGAACATAAATGCGGCGCAAAACCGTTGAGTGGTTGGTGTTAATGCTGATAATTCGATGATTCGTACCTAATATCGGCTGTTAACAGAATGGTACACTTAACATTCTGTTGGGTTGTCTTGATTGAATGTTTCGCAAAAACCAAAGGTTTAACTATTTACCTTATTTTATTTGTTCTAAAATCGATGTCAAATAATTTACATCATTGCGTTTCGCTCACCCTATAGATCCTCCACTTAAAACAATTTTGGCAAGGCTATTAATGTTATATACGTTAATATAACGCATGCAACTTCGACAAAGCTCAGGGATCTTAAAATATTGGTGGCTTGCAGAAAGTATGTTTCGATCGACTCCATTATTAGAGGCTACCCTATTCTTGCTTTAGCAATTTTCAACAAAAAGCAGAGTGGTACGGAGTGCCGGGAAGAAGCAAGGGGAGATATAAGTGGCAAGCAACTATTTCTTTGCAAAAGTTAACTTTTAGCTATGGCAAAGGCAGAAATAATTACTGGCTTATGAAAGGTCTCGTTTTTCCGAATAATTTCTTCTCCGCACAAACTAAAATAAGTCTTTTTATTATATGCACAAAGAGATAAGTTTAATTTGCAAAAATGGAGTCCAAACAGTTCAGTAAATTTCCTTCTAGTCGTGTAGAAACGAGGTTTAGCGCTATCTCCTCCATTATCTTTTGGAAATGCCCAAATTAGGCTTCGAAGAGCGGACTCGAAGGTAGCATTATCAAATCTGTAACAACAGCGATAATGCCTGCCACTGTTCCGAACAATCTGAGCTAGATACGAAAGTGGCGTGAGGTGCTTCAGTAGGTTTGAGCGCAGACGCAAAGTCGCAGAATTTTGAAAAATCACTTTGTTTATAACTAGGTCCTGACCAAACCTTACGATAACGAATAACCGTCTTTGTAACCTGTAGAACGTGTGCAACTAGGCAAGTGCCGCACTGCTGTTTGCTCGAAGTGCATTTTCTCCTCTTAGGAAACGATTTAGGGCTTTATCAAGGAAGGGGGGAAGTGCTTCGATCTGGTTATTAGTCTGTAAGTCAGGCCAAGGAATGCATAAAAAATGTTTGCTATAAGGAAAACAAATGATAAACGAAGACGCGTTAATAGATGGCGCACCTAAGATTTTACGTAGGACACAAAAAGGTGCGACAATTGCTTTTTCTCAAATGATCAAAGACTGATAGAATCCTTGTATTCCTCGCTACTCATCTTCTTCCTAGATTTGGAGGCGTTTTTAGCTTTTCGCTCAAACGAGTTCAACTGAATTATTGGTAATATGTATAGGCTTCAAAATTGTGATACTCCACGTTATCATGTCCGCTTTGCGCGCGGGCTCAGCTGCCTACGAGCCGTAAGCAGTTTGGTCTTGAGCCAAATTGAAATTGTGCTCTGTGATGAAAAAAAAAACCAGTTTTTTAAAGAAATCCTTTTCGTTTTTCAAACTTTATTTTTGCATTTCAGGTACCAAGCATAGGTTCGACTCCAGAGACAAGAGAACAAAAGTGATAGTGATTTCAACTAAGGACCATTGCAAAAGTGATGGTGGTTCTTGATATGCTATGGTAGCTGAAGAGAAATATGGAAATTTTCTTAACTCCGAAGCAATCAGTGGGAAGCGTTTTTTCAAACAGTAGTCAATGCAAAATGTTGCAAAAATGACATAACACTTCCTTCAAACATTATCCAACCATTTTCTTCGTCTCCCCTCCTTTTCGTGCATATACCTCCAAAAAATTGCGGATTTAGAGTTGTCTTTTTATATAAAAGTGAAATTGTGAACAATATTGACATGATTCAACGTGTTTCAACGTGTTTGACACTTTTACATCCTTGAACAATCATTTGAATTTTGAACTTTCGCACTTTAATTGCATACATTTTTCTCTACGGGACCAATCAAGGACGGAAAAGGGGGGAAACGCGGAAAAAATTAAGAGATTTGTGGGATTACGAGAGTGGTTACGTGCAATACATGGCAGTGATCTTATAGGCTAAAGTCACGCGGCGAAAATAAGATTGAAAGCAGAATTGTTCCTTATATATCTAAGTAAGAAACGACTGTAAAAGAAAAGGCATTTTTGCATGTTTCCTTTAAATTATTTCCCTAAATTCATGATTTCTGAAAGTTGCGCAGTTG